TTTTTATAAAAAATCAGATTAGGATCATTATATCAACCAGTTACTAAATCAATCATTCATTCATTCATTATCAACCGAACCATTCTACCAACCAATCAACCCACCAATCTACCAACCAATCAATCAGCCAATCAACCAACCAACCAACCAATCAACCAGCCAACCAATCATCTAACCAATCAACCAACCAATCAATCAACTAATCATCCAACCAATCATCCAACCAATCATCCAACCAACCATTTAACCAATCAGGCGGTCGACAATTTCACAGCAAGTTGTGCTGGCTATTGCCTGGCGACTTACATTCTCGGCGTTGGTGACCGACATAACGATAACATCATGATCAAACATTCTGGTAAGCATTCTATCTATTTATTACGATTGGTGTAATGGCTAAGGTGCGCTTTATAAAATGACATTATTATTATTTATTATTGTATTTATTTATTATTCTATATTTATTTATTTATTGTTCTATATTTATTTATTATTCAATTTATTATTTGTTATTATTCATAAATTATGTTTTTTTTATGTTGCTATTCAGATATAATTTTCATTTTAATTGCTGAATTATTAATTTGTGATTTAATTATGCGGTCGGTTTTGCCCCTTGACTGCAGCACAATATTATAACTTAACATTGTAGGTATATTTATTATCGTTTAATCAATCAATCAATCAATTAATTAATTAATTAATCAATCATTCAACCAATCAACCAACCAACTTATCAATTCAATCATGTAATCACACAACTAATCAATCAACAGACCAACCTATCAGACAACCAACCAACCAACCAACTAATCAATCCAATCATGTAATATCAACCAACTAATCAATCAAACAATCAATCAACAAACCATCCTATCAATCAACCAATCAACCGACCGATCAGTCAACCATTCAACCAATCAACCGACACTCAGGGCATATCTTCCACATTGATTTTGCCAAATTTCTCGGTGATTCACAGATGCTCGGAGCTATCAACAGGTATCATCACCATCATCATTGTTATCGTTATCGTCATCATTGTTATTGTTATCATCATCATCTTCTTCTTCATCTTCTTCTTCTTCATCACCATCATCTTCATCACTATCATCTTCATCACCATCATCTTCATCACCATCATCTTCATCATCATCATCACCATCATTTTCATCGTCTTCATCATCTTCATCATTTTCATTATCGTCATCATCATCATCATCATCGTCATCGTCATTGCTGGCCACCCCAGAGATCGAACCCCATTCATCTTGACCTCTGACATGGCTTACGTCATCAACGGCGGTGACAAGCCGACTGAAAGGTTCCAGAAGTTTCTCGACCTCTGCTGCCAGGCTCTCAACGTCATTCGGAGGAATAGCGGACTCTTCATTAATTTATTGTCGTTGGTTAGTTTTCAGTTGTTTTTTTTTTTTGTAAACTAACCGACCAATCAATCAATTAACCAATTAATCAACCAATCAATCAACAAATCATTCAATCAACAAATCAATCAACAAATCAATCAACCAACCGACCAATCAATCAACAAATCAACCAACCAATCAACAATTCAATCAATCAACCAATCAATCAACCAACAAATCATTTAATCAACCAATCAATCAATCAATCAACTAACCAATCAGATGTCACTATCTGGCATACCGCGAGTTGATGGTAAGGCGCCATATTACGTAAGAGATGCCCTCATGCCAGAGAGATCTGACGCTGAAGCTGTCGCGGAATTCACTAGGTGGTCATGAAGCTGATGATGTTGCTGCTGCTGCTACTGCTGATGGTGGTGGTGGTGGTTGTGGTGATGCTTATGATGATAGTGATGGTGGTGGTGATGATGATAATGGTGGTGGTTGTGGTGGTCGTGATGCTTATGATGATGATAGCGGTGGTTGTGGTGGTAATCAGTCGGTCTGTCATCATTTTTGCCTGCCAATAAAAACTTAAAAACCGCATCATTAATCGTCTTTGTTTTAATCGTAATCACCATCATCATCATCATCAGTTCATCACCATCATCACCACTATCATCGTCATCACCATCATCATCGTCACCATCATCATCATCAGGATGGTGAACACGTGCCTGAAGTCACTCTTCACGCAGTTCAATTTCTTCCTGCACAACCTGGCCCAGATGAAGTTCTCCGGACACGACGAAGGAATGCTACTATCCTTCGTTCCTAAGACCTACAGGTTGTGATAATGATGGTGATGATGATGATGATGGTGATGATAGTTATGATGAAGTTGATGGTGGTAATGATGATGGTGTTGGTGGTGATAGTTATGATGAAGTTGGTGTGGCTGATGGTGATAAAGTTCTCTGGTTGTAGTGAAAGGAGGCTGGTTATTTCTTCGTTTATTCATCCTTTCATTTATTTTTTTGTTGTATTTGTTCACTCACTCATTCATTTACACACTCATTCATTCACTCATTCATTCACACACTCATTCACTCATTCATTAACACAATCATTCATTCACTCATTTATTCACACACTCATTCATTTCATCCACCCCAGCATTCAAATGGACGGACGGATTGTTGGATTGGAGTTGGCGGGCATTCAGAAGAGATACAATCCAGAAAAATATTACGTTTGTGTTTTCATCATCATCATCACCGTCATCATCATCATCATCATCATTGCCATCTCCATCATCATCACCATCATCATCATCATTGCCATTTCCATCACCGTCACATCACCATCATCATCATTACCATCTCCATCACCATCATCATCATCATTACAATCTCCGTCACCATCATCATCATTACCATCTCCATCATCGTCATCATCATCATCACCAACCAAAGATCTACATAGTGAGGGTGTATCGGACCAATCAGAAAGTTCCATCCTACGTTCTCAGGAGGTTTTCCGAGTTTCAGGAACTCCACCGGAAGATCATATCCACCTTCCCGCTCGTTCAGTGGCCTACTTTATCCGGAAAGTAGGTCAAGATGGTGATGAGGGTGATGATGATGATGAGGATGGTGGAGACGATTCCGATGGGCGATAATTGACGATTGCTATTTGGATTTTTCGTGCTTTTTAGCGTCACTCACCTCAATTGTAATTTACGTCATCATCATCGTTTTTGTCATCATCATCATCATCATCTTTTCGTCATCATCATCATCGTTCATCATCATCGTTCATCGTCATCGTTCATCGTCATCATCAGCATCATCAACGTAATCATCATCATCATCAACGTAATCATCATCATCATCAACGTAATCATCATCATCATCATAGTCATCATCATCGTCGTCGTCCTCATCACCGTCAGATTCATCTTGGGTCGTTCCCATGTTAAGAGCGTGGCGGAGGCTCGGAAGTCCGAGTTGGAAGTCTTCATCAAGTCCCTTCTCAACATGACTAAGGAGATATCTGAGGTAAGTGATGATGATGATGATGGTAGTGGTGATGATGGTTATGATGATGGTAGTGGTGATGATGGTTATGATGATGGTAGTGGTGATGATGGTTATGATGATGGTAGTGGTGATGATGGTTATGATGATGGTAGTGGTGATGATGGTTATGATGATGGTAGTGGTGATGATGGTTGGTGATGATGATGATGATGGTAGTGGTGAAGATGGTTGTTGATGATGATGACGGTAGTGATGATGATGATGGTTTGTGATGATGATGATGATGACGATGATGATTCCAGCACGACCTCATCTACACATTCTTCCACCCAATGCTGAGAGATGAACAGGAGCTGAAAACGAACCAACTCAAACTGAAAGGTTCGTCACATTATCATCATCATCATTTATGGTGATTATGATATCATTATCATCATCATTATCATCATTGTGATAATAATGATATCATTATCATCATCATCATTATCATTATGGTGGTGATGATGATGATAAATTATGTTGTCGTAATTATGTCACGATGATGATGATGATGATGATGATGATGATGATGATGATGATGATGATGATGATGATAGCCCATGCTGCCGTCATGACGTCATCCATAAATCATAGTTTTATTAAAAGTACTAAAAACTTGAAAATTCAACTCCAACCTCTTTTCCTCTACATTTAAATGAAGTTTAACCGACTTGGCTTTACTTTAAATAAATAAATAAATAATAAATATATATAATAAATATAATAAAAATAAATAATAATTTATATAAATAAATAAAATATATATAAATACTTCCATTTTTTTCGTCAGAGGTGCCACAGTCGCCAACCTCGCCAGGGGGGGCACGCCACACGGCCAGGGTCATCGACGGCTCCATCAAACTGAACATCTTCTACAAGACGTACGGGTTGACCGTCATGGTAATGCACGTCAAGGGCTTGGTTGGATTTTCTTTTTATATTTCTTTCTTTTGGTTGTTTCAGAGGTGCCATTACCACATCGTCATCATAATCGTCATCTCTTTCACCGCCGACACAATCGTCGCCACCACTATCGCCACCACCAACACCACCACCATCGTCACCACCCTAACCCTCAGGGCCTGTCCAGTAGCGGTGACCCACCCAGTCCTTACGTCAAGTTGTACCTCCTACCAGACCCTATGAAGTTGACCAAGAAGAAGACGAAGATCGCCAAGAACACCGCCCATCCCTCTTATAATGAGATGGTCAGTTGCTAGGATGATGGTGATGATGGTGATGATGATGATGGTGATGATGGTGATGATGATGATGGTGATGATGATGATGGTGATGATGGTGATGATGGTGATGATGATGGTGATGGTGATGATGATGGTGATGACGGTGATGGTGACGATGGCAGAGGTGCTGGTTACACTTTCACAAACACACATACACATTCATCACAAACAAACAAACACACACACACACACACACAAACACACATGTTCACAAACAAACAAACACACACAAATGCACATATCCACAAGCAAACACACATATCTACAAGCAAATACACACATTCACAAACACACACATTCGTAAACACACACATTCACAAACACACACACACAGCTGATCTACCGAATGCCGATCGATCAGTTAGTACAGCGAGTACTGCAAGTAACGGTCTGGTCCTATGATGACTGAAGAAAAG